GAACACGATCTACAAACATCTCTAAAGTATGAAGACACAACGCACAGAAGTACTCGACTGAAATGATTAGCGAGTGTGGAGGTCCGGAAGATACGTAAGTGGATAGGCAATGTCAAATGAAGTAGTAGAGAATTAATAAGAAGTAGTGGATTCGTAAACGATAATCAACGAGCGACTTTAGTCGCAAGTTGATTATCGTTTCCGAATCCACTACTTCTTATCAATTCTCTAGCTTAACCCATTTCTAGTAAAACGACTGTCTGTTTTACGTTTTGACAATGAATCAACGATATTTTACAAAAATAGTTTCGTAATTTGTCTTTTTTATTCTATATAAGCTGGAATTGATTATATCCACACGGTTCGCATCTGTATTTAGACATTTGACAAGTTAACATAAGTTTAATATAACTTAAATGGGGTGTTAGCTCCCCTTTTTAACACCAGATTTTATTTTTGTATATTCATATTTCATTTAATGTTTAATCATTACAAATTATTGACATTGAATAGATTTTGGTATATTCAATTTAATCAAAAAGACATATATTAATATACAGAATTTATTTATCTTGTTTTGAAAAGGTAAAAAATTTTAATTACCAAAATTTAGAATCTTCAAAATTTATATATATACTATTTAGCAACATAATTTGGTATATTGAAGACTAAACACCGTTAAATCGTTCTTAGTCAAATAAATATTTTTAGCGTAGATTCCATAAATCAGCCATTTCATAATGCTCAAATTCATGTTGTTTTCCTAAAGTATTAAAATTATGTGCTTACGATTTAAATTGAACAATTATATTTAAATTTTGTTTAAACTGTTTCCGTTTCATTAAGTTAAGATTATTTTCACGTTATTACATTTGGCATATATCGTTCACCGGTCTATAATTATAGATTATCGTTGATCATCTCAACGAGATTGATTTTCTCGCTTGAGCCGGTACAGCGAAAGCGAGAAAAGCAATCGAGTTGAGATTACCAATGATCATACTCTGTTTATCGCTATTTTACCTATGACGACTTTGTTAATTTCATGACAACGGGCACGTGGTCCTTAGTTTGTAGCTATAATTTTCATATCATTCGACTCCGCTGAGAAAGAAAATTATCAATCAGCAAGATCAAAGGAAAATTTCGTAAAATAGCGATAAACTAGTTTTATCTGTGGTACGCATTCTGAATCCCCATCAGAATTGCTCTTGCTACGGATGTACAATGAATAATTATGTTGATTTCATAAACATACCATCAAGCTGTTCATAGCCGTGATCGTCTAGTCGTTGGTAACGAATGTCATAACGGTGATATTAACAGTGCAGAGTTCGAACCTTGTACCCGGAATGAAATTTTTTCATTGTAATTTCTTTTCTTGACCAAAAATATTGTTTTAATCCTAGAACCTGTAGAAGTATTATATAATTCATTTTCATAAAATGGCGATGATTTTGTTTCCGTTTTTACTGTCAAAGAAGTAGTTTTAACCCATTTCTTTAAAAAAAATAATAACCCCCAATAATTCAATAAACATGAACAAACCAAGATATATATATTTCATTAGATTACAAAAGCGAAGTATCAATGAGACAGAAATACAGTTAAATGACATGTATTGACAATTAAGCGCTTTAAGAGTACTATTTATATTAAGATTGATGTCAACCATCGTGGTCTAGTGGTATCATGCATAGACTGAAGACTCTATTGATTATGAAGAAAATACGCGCGGGTTCGAATCCTTCACATGCCACTCGTTTTTGAGAGGATAAAAGATCGTAAGTTAAAACTTTAAAGTTATAATATAAGTTCTCTTAAGTTAATACTGTGGTCAGTGGATTCTTGAAAAATAATCTACAGTCAGAACAATAGACTGACGTCAGAGAAATGGGTTAATGTAGATGAATTTGATGAATAAAGTCTATTAAAGACTAACAATTGTTTCGATCCGTGATTGATTCAAATTTTCTTTTTTGTCAACAAGAACTTAGTTGACTTAATTCAATTTAGAACATTTATGGAGGCAGAGACGCTTTAACTTAATTTATTTTCAAGTATGAACAGTAAATGTGAAATTTGTGATAATTTGCACTTTTCAGGGCCCCCAGTATGTCAAGATTGTCCATGATAAAGACGTTCTTTAGTTTATACTCTACCATTGTTAACGTCGGCGACTTCAGTGACGTCGTCATGGGCGCTTATTGAGTTGTTATTAAAAGTTATGGCTGAACAGACGTGTTTACATATCTTAGCGTAAATTGCCAGTTTAAACCTCTACATTTTAGCATATATACAAATACAAATACAAATACAAATATTTTATTGGCACAAACTCATTAACAATAAATGGTTAAGACCTATTGTATACATATAATTATATTAATTGACATGGTAGAATGAAAAGTTACATGATAACATATCATTATAGAATGAAAAGTTACATATTGGTGATTCATATTAGTTCACTATTTCTTATATTTAGACACTCTGATATGAAAGAGGAAGACAGTCTTAGTAATAATGCTGAGCTATTGTTAACCAATAGAGATATTTTATCATCAGTGGTAATGTTACGCTGTATTTTAAATATAACATTTATTTTATTTTCTAATATTTCTCGTTTTGAGGTAAATCTATTACATTGTAATAAGAAATGTTGTTCATCCTCAATTTCCCCATTTTTGCAGACAGGACAGTATCTTTCCTCTCTAGGAATGTTAAGATGTCTTCCCCTTTCAATCATTAAAGAATGTGCACTTATGCGTATTTTGCATATTGCTGCTCTATCATTTACATTGTTTAGTGAATCAACATATGATGGTCTTTGACCCATTTTGTAGACTCGACGAAAGAAACTGAGTTTAGAAGATTCCTGTATGTTTGCATTTTGATTTTGCAAGCACTGATCATAAATTCTTTGTTTTACTTGTCCCAAGTGCTGCTTTGTTAAACAACTTTTTTCTACAAGATATGAATATCCTAATTTTTGTAAAGTGCATTTAGTTTTTTTGATCCAGGGGTTTGACAACCTTGTTGCACAGAAAATTTGATTTACAAGTGTATTTTCTGATGAAAGTATATGCTCTAAAAAATTTATGCTTGAAAATATAATTTTATTTTTGAGTGGAATTCGACCAAGCTCAGCACGACAAGCATCATTTGAAGCCTTGCAATGAACACCAAGTGCTTCTTTGATAAATTTAATGTGTAGTTTTTCAAAGGGTTCAGAGTCCCTTAAGGATGAGTAAACACCCCAAATTTCACAACAGTACATAAGTATAGGTGATATTAATGTATCAAACAGTTTTTCAAGTAGTCTACATGGATTATTCAGACCAACAGTTTTCTTTATTTTGAAATAGGCTTTTCTTGCCTTTTCCATAAGAGTATTAATGGCTAAATTGAAATTACCATTACATTTTATTACAATACCTAAATAAGAGTAATGACTAACAGTTTCAATACAAGAATCATTGTAAGTAAATTCGTCCAAAAAAGTTTTACCATTTGAATTAAATACAATAACTTTGGACTTATCTGTGTTAACTTGTAGTTTCCAACAGTCACAATAATCATATAAAGCATTAAGACTGTTTTGTAGTCCTTTTTTACTTTCAGACAATAAAACAATATCATCTGCATAAAGAAGAATATTTAAAGAAAAGTCCCCAATTACAACGGGATCAGAATTACAATTGATTAAATCATTAGTGAGGTCATTAATATAATAATTAAAAAGTACAGGGCTCAGTACATCTCCTTGTTTTACTCCTCGCTCAGATAAAAATGCTGAACTGAGTCCATTTGAAAACTTGATTCTGCATACTGAGTCAGTATACATTGAATAAACAATTCTAAAAATTCTATTTGGAATATCGTGTATCAAAAGTTTATAAAACAATCCTATTCGCCAAACTGTATCAAAGGCTTTTTTGAGATCGATAAAAGCTGCAAAAACCTTTTTGTTTTGTTGTTTATAATGATCAATTACTGATTTTAGTGTAAATATGTGATCAGCAGTGCGACTATTTTCTTTAAAACCAATCTGATTTTTGCTGATTAAGTTTTTACTATTTATGAAGTTGATAAGTCTGTTATAGATAACTTTATTAAACAGCTTGCCAATGTTGGAACTGATGGATATGCCCCTATAATTACCAGGGTCAAATTTGTTTCCCTTTTTGTGGAGAAGAACTAGAAAACTTTCATTCCAGGTCTTTGGAAAATTTCCACTAGTAAAAATAAAATAAAATAATTTATGAAGTGGTTTAATTAATACTGGTATAACATTTTTCAACATTTCATTTGAGATCATATCAGCAGATGAACTCTTACCATTACGGAGCAATCTTTATACATATATTATACATTTTTCGTATTTAAGCACTCTGACTTTGTCCCTTTCGTCCCTGTGTAATCTACCCGGCAGCTTGCACCAATGAACGGAATAAAGGGCGATATGGACTCAGTGACAACAAAAAAAAATGAAAATAAGTCACTGACTGACTGGGACACTGAGGCCAGGGCTAGACTGCCTTGCATCATATCCTATCATGACCTAAAGTATCAAATTAATATTAATGTTTCATACATGTCAAGAGCAAAGGGATAATAAAATTAATGGTGTCATATAGCCACCTGAAGCAATTAGTAATTCAATCCTTATAATACCGTTGAAAAATTAGAGAAACAGCACTCGATTTGAAAATGCCTCCAAAACACAAAAACAGACGAATTTTTTTTTCTACACTCTTCAAATCTTTTCATCAAATGAATGGATAAAGTTATCATTTCCGAAAAGCGGAAGTTAATTTTTACCATACAAACTAAATGATAACTACTTTGTCATTTTTCATTATTACAAGAAAAAATATAATTTTCTTTCCCATTTAAGCATCAAAATTTTTCTTCATTGAACTTTCAAATAGATTGGATCGTTTATCACAATTGTTAAGTTTTATTTCAAACATGTTATCATTTAGTATCTTAACCGGTCACTGCGCATGTTACAGAAACCTTGATAGCAACCATTCCTAACTGGACCTGTTTCAAACGAGATTGAAGAACGACATCATGACAACTTACAGGGTATGCTTTAATTCAAAATTGTCGTAAAACAGTTTTCTTCACTGTTTAAATAACTATATATTCAACGGACGAACTTGAAACTAATATTGTAAAAAGCAGGTAAAGGTGACCCAGGGCCAGGTTCCTTATTAACAACCTTTTCTTGTTTTCAGTCATATTGCATTGGTCTGACTGTTATTCTACCCTTTTAAAATATGCGAATAATATTTAAAAAAGTGTTTTTTGGTAAATAATAGTATAAGAATTTAGTTGAAATGGTAACTAGTGATATGATTGTTATGAATATAGTAATGTCCTTTCAAGGAAGTTATGCAAAAATCAATGTTAAGACTGTTGTGGTCTCACCAATTTGCCATTTCAAAATCTAAAGGACTATGGGTAATTTTATTGTTAGTACACCAAAATGAAAAGACGTAATATCATTGTTTAGGACGTTTTGAACCAATCATAACATTTTGGTGTAAGATTTTGAAAATATTATTCAGAAAGCATTACTCCATTAGGTTCTGAAATACTGAATAAGCGACAAGATAACAAGTTTAGCAACTAGAAGACAAATTTTGCATCAAGAAGTTTTATATTCTCATTCAAACAATTTATAAAAAAAAATTTAATGAAATATAGTTTGTGATTTGTTGTTTTATAAAGTTTCAATCATGTTGCTTTTTAAACTATGCATTGATTTTCTGTAACATCAAGGACGTTTAACTAACATACGTCCTTGGTAACATGTAGTAGCAATAAAGGTTTTTGAAAATTTAATAGAAATAATAATAGTTTTCCTGTTTGATAGACATGATAGAATATGGTGGAATCTTATAAAAATATTACAAAATATTGCTGAGAGTTCAAAAAAAGAAGCATAGTACAATTTCTACTATATCAGTGTTCTTCCCAGAAATTTTGGATAACATCACTTTGGCGTAAAAAAATAAATAGTATTTTTTTTCAATGTCATTTGTTGCGTTGCGACGATGCTCCATTTCCCTTTAAGTAATGTTTATATTGTTCAATTCATAACTGAGAATACAATTAAAGTATAACAGTTGTTTCAGTTCGTGACTTCAATATTCATTTACAGTTACACAATTATATATTTCCTCTTGTCAGAAACTACCAACTAAATATCTAGCACATAAACAGAACTTTTTTGTCGAGCCTTCGACTTTAGTCGAAAAAGCGAGACATAGCGATCCTACATTCCGTCGGCGGCGGCGTCCACAAATATTCACTCTGTGGTTAAAGTTTTTGAAATTTTAATAACTTTCTTAAACTATCCTGGATTTCTACCAAACTTGGACAGAAGCTTGTTTATGATCATAAGATAGTATCTAGAAGTAAATATTGTAAAAAAATAAATCCCATTTTTTCCTTATTTTACTTTTAAATGGACTGAGATTTTTTGCCAGGAAACAACACATTCACTCTGTGGTTAAAGTTTTTAAAATTTTAATAACTTTCTTATACTATTTTGGATGTGTACCAAACTTGGACAGAAGCTTGTTTATGATCAAATGCTAGTATCTAGAAGGAAATTTTGTTTTCTTCCAGTTAACATTACATTCAGTCTGCAGTTAAAGTTTTTAAACATTTATTAGATTCATAAACTATCCTGGATTTTTACCAAACTTGGACAGAAGCTTCTTACAATCAAAAGATAATATTAATTTTATCAAGAGAAATATTTTTATTGATTTACTTCCTCATTTTTGTTGAGCCTGCGATTAACAGAAAAAGTAGGCGAGACACTGGGTTCCGCCGAACCCTTACAAATTTTTTTATATCAAAAAGGAAAAGAAAGTATAAATAAATAAAATTTCAATTAAAAAACTATTCTGTTTGTCATGTTTATGAAATTAATTGTTTCCTGGGACTCAGTGTATTAGTCCCAGTTGTTTCTCATCAAAAAGATATATATTTTTAACAAAGTTAAGCTACTTTAATCAGTTAATTGAAACAATGCATTTACATAGAAATAAATACATTTAGCAAGGAGATCTAATAAATAGTCCGTTAATGCGTGTGGAATGGTGTAATTTTCCCTTTTGGGGTCGTTATTATTCTGTCAGCTATGCCATTTGTGGGTCTGTAGTTATTATCATAAAAATGCTGATTTTGGTAATAGCTGGTCCGCTTCCGATGAATCCCGCAATTGACCCGTAGTTTGTACAAATATTTCAAAAATTTACGAAAATGAACAATGTTTGACAAGCAATTTGGAATGAATATGATGCTTTTAATGCAATAAATGAATGAAACATTAACTAAAGGCAAATATTAATTTTCATCACATTCTAATGAAGGAACAAACTTATTTTGCTGAAAATCAGATGTTTATCGTACGCTCTTGAGTAAGAAGTACTGCAAGGGAAAGAAAATACTTCATAAAAAGTTATTAGTTTGAAATAACATACGACCAAACTGTAAAGTCAATGCTTTCACCTCTTTTCTAAAGAAATAAATCATTTATATCTTTAAATTTCTTTACTTATAAATGAAAAATTGCTGTTTCAAATCACTCTTATTTGCCTCTATTGTCCGACTTGAAGGGATTACAATTAAGTTGATATAATTTTTATGATCACAGGCGGTTATTAGATGAAAGTTGAAAAATTAGGACATCGATCGATTTTGCAGCAATGTATAGAGACAAGAAAAAAAATAGCATCCTCAAAATAATTATAGCGTCACGGAAAAAAATTATAGCGTCCTGGGGAGATCACTGTATATGCCACAAAATAAGAGCATCGTATATAAAGCATATCAATGATATGACCAAAACAAGAAATTATTTGAATTGGAAATAATTTTGAATTCTGGAGAATGGCTCTGTGTCAACAGTTTATTTGTATTTATTTTAATATCAAAACTTATTAAATGTGAAATTTGTCTTTTGTGAACATATTCCTTTGCTAGAAATTATATTCTTCTGAATAATATTTTACGAAAAATGCAGAAAGACAGTTTTAATGTCCCCATGATGTTGAAGGTTTTTAGGTAAAGATTCAAATGAACATGAATAATGATGGTGTTTCCTTTGAGACAAGAAGACTCATATCTATGAATTTCTTGCAATGTTCACTTATGAAATAAAATTTACACTGTAGGGAGCTGACAGCAAGAGAGAAGAGTTCAGAAAATACTTAGAGAAAGCAGGTGTATTAGATGCCTTAACAAAAGGTATGATGTATATAACATTAATTAATACATCTTTTAGCAATTGCATACTTATTTTTTTGTTCTTTTAATATGCAGTGTATTATTTAAGTTAGTTTAAACAATAGAAAGCTGTTTAGTTTAGTTTATACATATTTTATTTAGTCAAAGTTAAATGGATTGGACTCGTAAATCATACTTATCATTGCTTATGAGATCTGCTCCAACGTAATACAGTTTATAACAATGCAATGTTAAAATGAGCATGCAATATTTCAAACTATACAATAATTTACGAGTCTAGCAATTGACAAAAAATGGCAAAAGTAATAACTGGAAAATTGGTAATGATGATGATGTGAATGAACCGCAAATACACTATTAGGTACAATGTATAATGTGACAAGAAATCTCTCAGACTTTTTAATAAATTTATCTCGAGGTCCATTATGAATTTTACTTTAAGCAGGGATCTTAAAAATGGCATGATTTTGAGCACACAATTGGAACCTACTGTTTTTTTAAATTTTGATCAGTATAATAACTACATGTACATGTACATAAAAGAATTTTAAATGAAACATGCAGAAAAATCACTGAAATCTTTTATACTGCATGGTATAGTAGGCAGCAAACACAAAGAAATTAGTATGTTTGATATTTGTAATGTCATTTTTGAGGTCTTCTATTATTTTCATACTACATACATATATATTTTAAGTATAAATTTCTATTTGATAAATTTATGTAATAGCTGTATTTTCTTTTATGAATTAAGGTTTTCTTTTTTAGTTTTGGTTGGGTTGTATGAAGAACCAGAAAAGCCAAATAATGCATTGGAGTATCCTTGAACTAAGTCTATGGGCTGATTTGAATGTAATTAAATGTATTTTATGGTTAATTGAAATCATTAAAAAAAACCATTTACAATCAGATTTAAAGACAGATTCTGTTCACTGTACATGTAGTAAATTCATCTTCCGTAATATGCTATGATAGTAAGTAGGGGCATACTGTTTAGTGGTCTCTGAGTTCATCCATTAGTCTGTCTTATATCATGTTAAATTTTCTGTTTAAGGTCCAAGTGACATAGATCAACTATTGATCAAGGTATGGTCTTCAACAATGAGTAAACCCAAACCATACATGTATATTCACCAAAAAAAACCTGGCATGACCTTAAATTTGACAGAATTCAAAGGAAAAAACCAATAAATGAAAAACAAATATGACAGACAGCAACACACAACAACCACAATTACAGGCTTCTGGCTTGGGTAAGGCACATAAAGAATGTGGTTGGGTCTTAAATTGTTTTTAAGGGCTCGACCTACTATGTAACCTTGGACAGTGGTGTTCATAAGAACATTAACAATAAAAATCAGTTGGAAGTAGTGTGACTCATCAGATTGGCACAAGGAACATTTTCTCTATGATCTTATCATAAAATGTATACCAAATTATGGTGTTGATCCAGACTTGTCAGTTTACTGAATATGTAAATATGCAAGTATGAGCAGGAAATGGTGTTATATAAACATATATTCTTGTTAAGCTTGATTTAACTTTTACTTGTATGGTTTTACAGGTAAGGTGTATTTACATGAATTAAAAGCTTCCTTTTAAAGTTTTATTAAAAAAAACAACATTTACTGCACTGTTTCTGTCAGTTATAATTTTAGTTGATCATAGTAGTATAATTTCCTTAACCAGTTATTTAGCTTTTTAAAACAGCATCTAGGAGCTTCAGGTCCAGAAACAGCCGATGTGGAGGCCTTAAAATTAGAAGTAACAGAACTTAGACAGAAAATAGAACAGTTGACAGAGGAAAACAATGAATTAAAAACAAAGGTAAAGAACATTTGGGAAGGTTGTCTTAAACATGGTCATTAATAAAGATATTTAAGTTTAACAAAAAAATTGCATGTTGAGTAAAAGAGAAGTTGAAAATGAAATTGATAGATTTAAAAAAAAACACAAAAAAAGCTTACCTTTATGGTTTGTAACAACTGTTCATAGAAAAATGGAGTTCCAAAAAATGTATGACATGTTCTGTACTACAATGTACTAGGATGTCATAATGCTGTTTTTATATTTAATTAAATTTAAAACAAGAAAATGACAAATTCTAGATGAGGGCAAAACACTGGCCTACGGTCAAAGTTTCCTGTTGATATATTTTTTATATATACATACATGACTAAGGTTGAATACTTTAATTTATATCAGATAGCTAATGTAAGTATAGTCCTTAAAATGCTATACATGCTATAGAAATATAGAAATCCTCTTATTCTGAAGCTCTAAAAGATCTAGGATTACTAGCTTTCAGATCTCCAAAAGAGAGAAAAAGATCTTAAGGATCCTGGAACTCTCCAGACTTGACAAGAGTTGTTGGAAATTTTATATTTAATTTAAAAGTATTTATGGGACAGATTCAAAAATAAGGAGATGTGGTGGAGCAATATATGTTTTCCCCCAATTTGCAATAGATACCAAGGATTCTATGTATATAACATAACCTAGATAGCTATTGTGTGATGGCAAAGAAAAATAGTTATTTTGAATATGGTAGCTAGCTACATTTTTGGAGGAATACTTGCAAACACAATCTATATAATTGTTTTCAAATATTTTCATCAAATATCTATTTTCCACTCTTGTTGCTGTTTATACTATAAAGCTTTGTCATTTCTAGCGATCTTTCTTCAGTTAGTATAAGCCAGAACAAAATTTTATGTAGATTCTCATTTTGTGGTGTTTTGATGATAGATATAATGCTTGTGTAAATGCTCTTTTGTTCCGACGTTGGAAAGTTCCGGGTGGAAAGAACTAACAAGCCGAAAAGTTCCGGAAGGAACTTATTAACCAGTTACTTTGTTCTTCCTCTGGTTTAAAAGTTCCACCGGAACAAAGTGACTATTTGAAAAGTTCCAATGGAACATATCAACTAGTTAGAAAGTTCTTTTTTGCCAAATTAGTCAAAACCGGAACTAACAAACTAGCCCAAAAGTTCCAACGGAACTTATCAACCAGGCAGAAAGTTCCATTTGGAGAATTGATGCAAAGTAAAAGCGCAACATATTATATTTGAACCTTTCAAAGGGAAACCAAGATACTGAATATACCATATTTCGTCCTTTTTGCAGAAAGAGGGGGAAGAATGAGTATCAGTATATATAAGAGCAAATCATTAATTTACAAGAATACCCAATGCACTGAAAGGGGTTTCTTTGGGGACAAATATGCAAAATTTAAGTTGTATTTCATAGCTCACATAAAACAGAATAAGTTGCATTATCATGCAAATTTAGTATTCATAGTACCCTCAAGAGAGGGAAGAATACCCTCCTCCTCATGTGGTTCTTTGCATCAATTCTCCAAATGGAACTTTGTGACTGGTTGATAAGTTCCGTTGGAACTTTTGGGCTAGTTTGTTAGTTCCGGTTTTGACTTATTTGCCAAAGAGGAACTTTGTGGCTAGTTGATAAGTTCCTTTTTCGGGAACTTTTCGACTGCACTCGAACTAGTTGGAAAGTTCCATCGGAATGAAATAACTAGTTGAAAAGTTCCGCCGGAACAAAGTAACTGACGGAACATAGTGGCTGTTACACTTGTTCTGAGCTATGCGATTCATTATACCAATTTTAGGGCAGAAGTAAGGTATATTTTTTTTACATGTTAAAGGGCTATTTCAAAATGAAAATAAAAAGTGGTTGTTCATAATTATTCAACAGATACAAAAAAAACATATTCAATTTCAGAATCATAAAAATTGAAAAAAATCTTTTCCTACTATTTAAAATGCAAATATGGCAACTTTAATGTCCACCTAACCTCTCCATATTTTCCATTATATGCACACACCCAAATTATTTTAACACAGCTTAAATTGAAATGCTTTGAATATGAAATTAACAATTGTAAACTTATATTGGAGATAAAACCAGGTGCCTAATTCTTAGTTTTACCATAGAATAAGAACTTGAATATGTTCATTGATGTCAAATTACATGTATACTTACAGGTACAACAGTATGAGCCAGAAGGACAAGAAGCTCAATGAAGATACTAAAAAGACATTTTATATAATTTATGATAGAAACTGTTTAAGGTTCTACTTTAGTTTTATTCTATTGGCTAAGAGAAAACTGCCAAACCCTTTGTATTTATATGTAATTTCCTGAAGTCAAGTAAAACATTTGATTTTTTTTATCAGTTTGAAAAATTAAAAAAAAGATACAGTTAAAAACTCGAGAAAATGCTATGGATATGATTTTATTTATTTTCTACGATATCCATATTATAAAAATATAAATCTTCAAATATTATCTTTAATAAGATTTCCCACCAGTAATGAGAACGTGTTTGTTGATTTTTTATTTTTTTAAATGTTGTTTCTGAAGTTTTCTCCAATCAACTATCATTAGAACTGGGGCATCTTAATTATTGTTCATGATTTCAATTTCATCCATACATGTGTACGTTTTTACGTGGTTGTTAGTTTTTTAAGTATTTTTGTTAAGTGACTTGTTAAATTGTACACCTATCAATTGATACCTTCTAGCGGGGAGTTTTCTATTGGTATGCCTGTGATTAGCATTAATGTATATAGAGTTACATAATGTCCAAAGACAGAAAGATTGTTTCAAAGGAATGTCATGTTTGGTTTTAAGAAGAGTGAAGGTTTTGAGAGGAATGATGGTATATTTTTGGATTATCAATTTTATCTCATTATAATAATGATAAAGGCAGGCCTTTTATGTATACACTGTATATTTATGCTTTTAATGGCAGTGATAAACTCTTTCATTTTACCTTAGACAAAATTTTTTGCATTTTATTGTACATGTATATGCACAGGTTGAATACATTTCCATGTACATTTGAATACATTGAGATGAAGTACAATAAATCTTTTTGTTTATTGTGTAAAAAACAGCTGTTTTATGGCCATATTTTAATGGTACAATGACATGTAAGTAAACACATCTTAATTTATCCCCTTCTATGACGAATGAAATATTAAATTGCCATTACCTTACCAACTTGTAGTCAATTTGAACTATGTTTAGGAAATGATGTTTTATTGTGTCAGACGAACCATTTTGTACAATGTACACTGTATGTGGACCAATAAAAAATGAAAATTTGGGTAATTAGATTTGAGTAGTATGGCATTATGAAATGTTTTTAATTCTGTGCCTATATGTTCCTGTAGAATTTCAGTTTGTCAATCTTTCCTGTTTCTGGTGGTCTATAGTGATGATTTAGATTTCAATGAACTTAATATTTGTTCATGGAACTGGTAATTTTTTAAGTTCAAGGTTTTTTTTACCACAAATTACTTGATACAAATATTTGGTTAGGAAGTTTGGCTGTACCTGTAGAATTCTTTTTACAAACGGGATGTAGCATCTGTATTTTTACAGTGATGTTGTTAATAGAGCCTGTAAACTTAAGATTCGATCCATGTAATTTGTTAAGTTATTTATTCTTTGTTTAATATAAAAATGAGGAAATGTCGAATGTTTGCCGATGAGACAACTTTCAACCACAGTTCAAATGAAGTGGATGTAAGCAATTGTAGGCAACCCTCTGGCCTTCAACATGATACCTTTTAGTCCAACCAGCATAGCCGACATGGCTAAAAAAGAACATAGGGTAAAAATGCCTGTCAGGGGTAGGTATGTTCAGGATGTTGAGATCTACCTACTGTCCATTTACACCACAACTGTCTGTAGTTATTGACTTTTTATGATGAAGATTATTGCCTCTAAATGATGATTTTAACAATTTTTGCATTTTTGACCGAAAAATAAGTAGATAAAAAAACTTGTCAACAGCAAAAATTATCAGCAAGACACGATCAACAAAAAAAGTATTATAGTTATGAAATAAAGTCTCAATTTTGAAAGTGCACATTGATTAAAATGAGTGACACTGTCTCAGTATTTGAAGAGAAACCAAATGGAGCACTTCTTGAAGGGGTTCCAAACTGATACAAATACATATATGTTACCACATTTATTTCACCAGTATAATAAATTCAACATTAGCCACCATACCAGTTGTGTACAACCATTAACTATCGTGATTATTACTAGTATATGGTATGATTAACCAATAAAGACTTGTTTTCATTAATATATCCCTTACACCCATGGGGTGATCCTCAGAATCTTTTAGATCCAAAACAAAAAGAGAATATATTTTTATGCTCATGAGAACATGCATGCATAATATTTCAACAAACACAGTCATTACCAAATCCTATCAAATCAAAATCTGAAATAAAAATAAAGAATGTGTTTATGGAACACAGATGCCCCCACTTGAAATTATAGAGCAAATTCTGCAAATTTTCAATTTACAAAGGGACATAACTAAAGAATGAAGAAAGTGACTCCACCCAAATTGAACTTGATCTGTGTTTGATGATAAAAAGCATTGTGTACAAGTTTTAAAAGATTAGGTTGAGACAAAAACTAAAGTTAGTGCGGAAACGGCAAATTTAGCAATTTTTCCTTTTGTAAAGGGACATAACTCAAGAACTCAAAGTGAGACCACCCAAATTCAAACTAAATCTGAGTTTGGTGCTAATAAGCATTGTGTATAAGTGTCATAACATTTGATAGAGGCAAACTAAAGTTAGATTGATTGATTGATTGATTGATTGTTGGTTGCTTAATGTCCAGTGCAAATTAAAGTTAAGAGAACAGAAATTAATTTTAGGACGTACAGCCAGAAGGGTAAAACTTAATGCTATCCCCACTGTGGTGGGGTATAAAAAATGTATACCGGTATATATTATATTTCCTGGCGGCAATTACTGCATCCTATCAATAATCTGCAGTCATCTGCGCACCATTCAACTTGATTTGTCAAGTGACTTTGTAGTTGTAAGATTATAGGTGTATCTTGTTTCATTTCAATTTAACTCTTAAGGACTTGTTTAGTCTATACAATTTGATATTTACCTCTAACTGCCTTTTTGTTATTTTTGTCTCGCCTTGACGGAGTCAAAAAGAGAGACTTAGGTATGCTGTTTCCGGCGGCGGCGTCAACAATGTATTAGTTTGTGATTAGGTATAGTTCATGGTGAACCACTAGTGGTAGGTCAATGATATTTAGTATACAGTTGTATTAGCATTGCCACATCTCATTACCATGGAGATTATTTGGCAACGCCCCCTCAGTCAAGGTCTATTGACTTTGAAACTTTGCTTAGTTTACATGTATTATTTTGTGATTAGGTCAGTTTATGGGGAACCACTAGTGGTAGGTCAATGATATTTGGTATGCAGTTGTATAAGCATTAGAACATCTCATTTCCATGGAGAATATTTGGTCCTTACTCCTCAGTCATGGTCTATTGACTTTGAAGCTTTTGCTAAGTTTACATGTATTAGTTTGTGATTAGGTCAGTTCAAGATGAACCAGTGTCTAATGCTAAGTCAATGATATTCGATATGCAATTGTATTGGCATTTGCAAGTTTCATTTCCATGGAGATTATATAACCCAACCCCCTAATTATGGTTCATTGACTTTGAAATTTTTACATATTTTACAAGTTAATGTTTGTGTTTAGGTTTGTTTAAAGGGAATGACTTATGAAAAGTCAATGGTATTTGGATTGCAGTTGTATTAGCATTGGCATATCTCATTTCCATGGAGATTGTTAAGCCCTGTACCTTCAGTCATGGTTCATTGACTTTGAATATTTGCATAACTTACATGTTAAAGTATTGCTATTTTAATTTCAACATTTGCATCATTAAAATAACAAATAGGCGAGACATATCTCTATGTTAACAGTTTATTTGTCATTTGGCTATAATTATATAATAAAAATATAATAATAAATATGTGAATTATACCCCACGCAACAAACTTGTGCTGAGTATAATGTTGGTGACTTATCCGTCAGTCCTGTTCTTGTCATCAAAACTCATCTGAAACCACACTACAGAAATTTTGAAACATTATAGTTATAAACATAATATGTGGATGTGCATATCGACAGGAAGTTATGATTCAATTTTTTATGCCCCCGCTGTAGTGGAGGAGGCATTAAGTTTTACCCATATCTGTCTACGTCCCAAAATTGGTTTCTGTTCTCTAACAAGTTTGCCTCAACCAAATGTTATGAAACTTATACACAATGCTAATTACCACAAAACACAGATCAAGTTTGAATTCTGGTGGCGTCACTTTTACCGTTCTAGAGTTATGCCCTTTACAAATGGAAACATTGCTGAATTTTTCAATTCTGTTCTCAAACTATAGTTTGCCTCAACCAAATGTTATGAAACTTATACACAATGCTTATTGCCACAAAACGCAGGTCAAGTACACATTTAGGTAGTGTCACTTTTACCGTTCTTGATTTATGTCCATTTATAATGTTATATGCAAGCAAGGGCATCATCTGTGTTCCATGGACACATTCCCAATTTATTTTTCTAGGAGTTATGCCCGTTTGAACTTAAAATTTTGGCCTAAATATACTACTGCAGCAGTTTGTCATCACAACTCCTCTGAAACCATACAACAGAATTTCATGAAACATTGTAGTTAATGAGTTCATAATATGTAGATGTGCATATCGACAGGAAATATTTATCTGCTGACTTTTTTAAGAGTAATGAGTCTTTGAACTTGGGAATCTGGTGAGATTTTGTTTTACCAGTGTCAATGTGGGGGAGTAGTATGTAAAAGTGCTCACAAAGGTTCTTTGATTATCATAAACCTTCTTCATACATGACTAAACATTTGAAACTGTTAGTTATTTTCTTGTTTTTACAAAGCATAATAGTACTACATATGTTATATGCCCTTTCAAAGACGATGTATAATGGTCTAACAATGTCTGTCTGTTAACACTTTGTAAGATAACTTAAATTTACTTGACCAATTATCATAAAATTGGATCAACTTTAGGATTGACAGAAGAAAGCTTCCTTTTCAATTTGAGAATTTTTGGCTTTGTCGTTCCAGAGTTAAGAAACTTCTAACTGTTTGAATTAAGGCAATTTTATGTCAATAAATACGTTACCATAATAAA